TTCGAGTTTCTGCGAGGGCACTGCGCATTTTTCACCTCTTCTGTCTCAGAAAAACCGAATGACTGTATAAGTCTTTTCTTTATTAGATAAGTGCAAGAATCTCGATCGCATTAATTTGCTACCTCCCCCCAAAAAATTGCAGCAATTTTTACTTCCTTGTACGAAGTAAAGGAAGTAGTAATCATCAAACTTCTTGGGTGTCATATTTCAAAGAAAAAATCCATTTTGACCACCCTCGAATGCATTTGAACGATGTTTCTGCGTGACATCTGTACGTGCGGACAGAATAGAATTTTTTTTTTTTTTTTCCAAAACTGTTTGTAAAGTGGATTTCAAATGGATTCAGAAGAATTTTTTTTTGGTGTTGTCTGTATGTATATACGTATCTCGCATAACTCAAAAAGTTGCCGTAAAACCTTAAAACTTTGTCTATGGGACTGTTACAACATGCAGTTGTGCATCTCCCTTTTTTGTTACAATCGGCTGCGCCAAACGTGTATATGTATATACATATCCATCCTCTTACATAGGTCTATGAATAATTGTTTTTATTCAAATACGTTGGTAAATTGCGAACTTATTTGCTTTAAAAGTGATTGAATTATGCTGTTCTTAAGTTCCGGTTAAGGTTTTTATGCCTTTAGTTAATCTACATGCAGTAGTTTTAGAATTATCAAGAATTTAAATGTTTAAGTGGTGCTAAGCCTAAATAAGCCGCCATTTGTTTAGATTTGAAACTCTTAATAAAATAGTGAATTAAGTCAGTTGGTGCACCAGCTTCAGTGTCTTTTTGCCGGTGGGGCCCAAAGTGAACTTTCAGTTTTGTGCACCGAAAATGTTGTCATGCTGCCCGTAGGCCGAATTACGTTTTTGCATAGAAACGCTAATTTGAATCGGGGGGGGGGAGAATCTTTTAGTTTTTTTTAACTGTATTTGGTGTTTCAACATATTCTGTATTTTGCAGTTTTTAATGAAGATTGAGTTTTTATGTATTTTTGCTTTAACGCGACGTGAGAACTGAATTTATTGAATTAGAAATTATATATGTAATGAAATTCGAGGAAATGCAGCCAAAAATGTGTATAATTTAATAGGCCGTACAAGGAAGTCACGTGGTGTCTACGTCAGATTTTTTCTTTTCCCAACGATTTGCCGATGCCGTTTTTAATAGTTCATTTTAAATTATAAAATTGTATAATCCCTGTCTTTAATTTCTGAGAGCTTAATTTGAAAACTAAACTGAAATTCGCATACAAAAATTCCAATATTCCTAAATCTTACTATTTTAAACTTTTCAGTATTTTAAATACTTTTTTAACATTTCTAAATAAATTTTAGTGTTAAACTCTTCGAGGGGTTAAATTTTAATCTGATTTCAGATTTTCAAATTGCGGTTTTTATTAGTCTAATTTAATTTTATTAAGTCTTTTAAATTGTTGATAACTCCACAAATATTGCATGCAGATTTACTATAGGCATAAAAAACCTTAACCGGAAGATAAGAACAACATAATTCAATTATTTTTAAAGCAAAAATGCACAATTTACAAACGTATAAGAATAAAGAATCTGAGCTCACTGAATATAGTAACAGAATGGATATATATATATATACATATATTTAATGTACTTTTATATTTTTTTGGGGGGGAGGGAAGAGCCCTTTATTCTGTCTTTACGTGCAGATGTCACGCAAAAACATTATTAAATTGCATTCGATAGCCGTCAAAATGGATATTTTCGTTGAAATATGATACCTGAAATTTTTCGCGATTACAATACTTCCTTTTTACTTCGTACAAGGAAGTCAAAAACATTTTTATCTCCAGCGCGCGAGACTGTGTATCGGCATATCTAAAGATATGCTCTTTTTAAATATTTTGCTATATTGATGCTGAATTTAAGTGCGAAAAACATGTTAACGGACTAAACGTTGAAAGGGGACCCTTTGTGCGTAATATAAAATCTGAAAGCTTTCAGATTTATTTATTTTTATTGTAATAAATATTTTTATTACAGCAGAAATTTTTGTTTACTTTTATATCAAAAACGGTTGATGAACATGACAGACAAGTAAAGAGTTTTTGATTCAATCGAATGCTTTTATTTTTGCGAGGCAGAAAAAAATTTCTCTGCATGACAGCATAGAAAGGAACAATATTTTCCAAATTAGTTAATCATCTTAATGACGCTTCCAAATTACATTTATCTCCTTGCTCAATATTAACGCTTCATGAATGACTACTAAAATATAAATGAGGAAGTGATGCACTAATGATTTGAGGAAAGATACTACTTATCATGAGTGGAATATTATCTGCGTCGTTGAGAGGCTATTTGAGCGAAAAGAAAGAAGAGAGGGGGGGGGGAAAGGGCGACTCTCATTTTGAATTACTAGTCATTTAGGCTAATTCCACTTATCTAGAGTGTGAGCTAAGGGAGCTTGACGACGCTTATCAGCAAGCCACGACACATGGCATCGTTATCTTCCAAATTATAACAGTGTGTTACCTAGAAATAATTAATTCACATATAAAATACTTACATTTTTATTATTTTCCTGTAACTATTGGATTATTAATACAATTTTTTTTTTTTATATATATATGGGAAAAAGTTAGGTCGTGCCGCAATGCATTTATTACAAATATGTTAATTTTTGTAAAAATTCTAGATTGTATTTTTCTGTCATGGTGATGAATAGAAAAACACAAGGAAAGGGAAACATGCCAATGTGGAATTTCAAATTAGGCAAAAACGCAAATGGGCATAAATTCTGAATCAAATTCTAGCGATTTTGACGGTGATCAGACAGAATCCCCCTTCTTCGGAAAAAAAAAAAAAAAAAAAAAAAAAAAAAAAAAAAAAAAAAAAAAAAAAAAAAAAAAAAAAAAATTCAAAATAAAAAAAATTAAAAAAAAAAAAAAATTTACATACTTATTTTCCTGTAAATATGGTTGTTTCTCTATTTAAAAATATTTTGCTCTTGATGAAGAAGGACTTGTATATTTTTTTCCCTTTAAAATCTATGCCAGACTAAAGTGGTATTGTTAGCCCAAAGGGGCGTTAGACCCAAAGTGCTAACGGGGACCTGTTGAGGCTCCAAACAGCTGTTATTCTTTCTAAATGGAGAAAATACTGGGATGTGACATTAAGCACTCGGGAGGATGAATGTAGGAGGAAACTGGGATATTACGGGATGTCTTGTGGGTGTAGTAAGTAGGACTTTAAAACCTAATAACATTCCATGTGCTGTCTGTGGGACCTTGATACTATGTTCTGAGGATATAATGGGATGTGTTTAGGAGGCTAGTGGGATATCGCGGGATGTCCTGAGGATGTAGAAAGTAGTTCACATCCTAATAACATCCCGTACGCTGTCGATGAAACTTAGTTAGGATGTCCTGAGGATATACTGGGATGTGACATGAAGCACTCGGGAGGATGTGTTTAGGAGGTTCGGGGGGATGTTCCGGGATGTCTTGAGGGATGTGTGCATATCTCACGAGCAACATCCTCAGGATATCCCAAGCATGTTTTTGTGCTATGTGGGTATTGGGTCTACGCCTGTTTAACTGTGTTAGCCACCAGGTGTTCTCGTTTCCATTCCCAATGTTTGTCGTGAAAAGCTGGGATGCCAAATTCAATCGGTTAATTAAATAACATGAAATTGATTTTTTATTATAATGAAATAATCAACCAAGTGTACCACTGGCATAGCTAGAGTTTCCAGCGCCCGGGGACAACTGAAGAATTTGCGCCCCTTTCTGTGTGCCAAGAATGAAAAATATTTCATTAAAAAATTTCGTAGCATCAATTTGGCGGCCCTTGGATGCTGCGCCCAGGGACAGATGTCCCCCTTTGCCCACCCTAGCTACGCCTCTGAAGTGTACATTTGAGTTAAAATAATACGTTGAATATCGATTATTGGAGATGTTAAGGCAACAGAAATCAGCGTAATTTACGAATATGACACTGATAACGTGGCAGTTCTAAAATATCGTCGTCGAAAATAAAGCAATTCAAAAACTTCGCAGTTTCCAAAACATCGTCATCGAAAATATCTCGGTAAAACATAAAGCGCCTACAAATCATCGCATGACGAATAACATCGCAGACATGCGTTTTTCAGGCATTTAAAAATTATAAATACATATTCGTATACTGATTTGTAAGCGCAAAAAAAAAAAGGAATGACGAATATCGTTACTTTTATACTTATAGCAGTAAACATAATTTTACGATCTGATAATTAATTAAACAATTTTAATAGAGATAACCACTTGCAATTACTCATCTTCCTTTTTCTAATCTTTTTTAAACTACATTTTTCATGAAAAACCTAGAAACTGCCACGTATTTCACAGATTTCAAAGCCCTGTTTCATTTTTATTTGCAATAACTGCTTTCTTTCATTACAATAGACGTTTATGTGTAAATGCTTACTGATTTGGAGGCTCGTATAATTGCATATTTGGAGGAACTGATTATTAAAAATAGTCCAAACATAATTACCGAAAGCCACTCTTGGAGCAGTCTGCCAGTTGATGGAACTATAGTAATATTTTTCTTTTCTCAGTCGTTTTTACAGCCAATATGTATACAGTCAAAAGTCATTAATTCGGACACCCATAATCCGGAATGATCTATAATCCGGACCTCAAAGCTACAAACTTTCTGCGCATGCGTCGCTTTGACGCATGCACATAGGCGTTTAGGCATGCGCGTAAGACCTTTACGGCTGCGCATATGCGTGTGCGCAAGTGCATAATACGTTTACGCATGCGCGTTTAATGTATAACGGACGGTATAAGCTGAAATTATCTAATGATGATCTATAATCCGGAATTGCCGAAGTCCCGACGAGTCCGGATTAACGACTTTTGACTGTATAGTAATTCTGTGATAATATTAAATTTTCTGTATCATATACCCTGCAAAATGTTTCACTGTTATCTGTATATATTTACTTCTAAATAGTACTTTATTCTTCTCCTTAGCTGAATGCCCTATCTGTTCCTAAATTATCTGCAGATCTGGAGAAAACTCTTAAGCAACTGGAGCTTACGAAGCAAGACCTTGGTAAGAACAGGAAGCTGTAATTTAGTTATTTATTTGTTTGTTTCACATGAAAAGCTTACCTGAAAAGAGGTACTAAAGGTTTTCTTTTCTTTCAATCATACAGCTTACTATGAAAGGGAAGTAGAAGAGATGAAGGCTCATCATTGTCAAGAGTTGAATGATCTGTCCAATAAATTATTTGAAGTTTATCAAGGGGAGGTCGCCGAACGTAAGTCACTTATTGAAATATAATTTAATAAAAAAATGAAGTTGATTAGATACAGAAAAGTGTCACAGATCTTCTGCCGGACTATCTTTTTAGATTTCATTTTTGTTGTAAATTGTAAATATGTATCTAGATTTATTAACTTTTATTCAGGAAATCATTTAGTTGCTTAATTCATTTTATTAATGTTATTTCTTTTAAAAGAAAAGCCACAGGAAATATTGTACATATTTACATTTCTGTATACAGTCAAAAGTCTTTAATCCGGACATCCATAATCCGGAATGATCTATAAATCCCGGACCTCAAAGCTACAAACTTTCTGCGCATGCGTAAACGAATTGCATGCGCATATGTGTTTTACGCATGTGCATCATACCTTTACGCATACACATATGCGTTTACGAATTCGCATAATACGTTTATGCGTGCACGTTTAATGTATAACAGATAGTATAAGCTAAGCTAAAATTATCTAATTCAGTTAATGTTGGAGATTGCATTGTTCCTTAATCTTCTAATTGGATCCGGCTTATTATTTTTTTGCAGACTGTTAAAGCAATTTTATAAAAGTAAGCTTGAACTTTCGATTATGTCAAAAAGAATTTCCGATTCTGGAGCTGCCAAAGGATCTACAAAGCGAAAGCATGTTTCGATGTCCATCAAACAAAAAGTGGAATTGCTACAAAAAATGGATAAAGGCACATCTTTTGTTTCTCTAACCATTCGGAAATCTGTTTATTAATTTCACCCTGCTCTGTGGGAGGAAGGGGGGACATCCTCGCAGCACGCAATGAACTGGAAATTGATCTGTCAGCACTATCCTTATCTTCAGGGCAGATGTTTTTATTTTATTCGGCTTATAATTCCTTACTAAATGTAGTATTTCATCTTGATGTACTCCGCCTTTTCATAACATAGGTGCATCTATTTTAAAATTAGATCCACTTATTTAAATCATTTAAATTAAATTCCTCGTCATTATAAATATTACGAATACACATCAAATAGTTTTCTGGTTGCAATTTTCTGATTTTGACTATGCATAATGTATGCTTTACGCATGCTCGCGTTGAAAGAAATGTTCAACAAAGTAAACAAATAAATATTAAGCTTTTTTTTTTTTTTTTTTTTTTTTTAAATTTTTATTTTGATACCCTTTAGATCATAATTTCTCTTTATTTTATAAATTACAGTTTCATATTTTTAATTTTATAATTTCTGCATGCCATCTTACCAGATTTAAACTGATGATCTATAATCCGGAAAAACCGATAATCTGGAATCGCCGAAGTCCCGACGAGTCCGGATTAAAGACTTTTGACTGTATTTTTCATATTTTCTACATATTCCTATAGAAATGAGTTCTAAGATAGTTAGTCTTGTACAACTTTAATAGTAAATAATTTGCTATTGTTGTAAGCCCTCAGCTATTTGAAACAACAGCATAAATATTTCGCTTTTATCCAGTGCTGATCCTAAACCGTCAGCTGCCCAAGTACAAATTAAAATTGGCTGCCCTTTTTTACAGAAGTGTGTTCAATAACCATTTCACCACCTTAAATTTGGCCCACTCATGTGCTTTGCACCTTCTTGCTCCGTTATGATCGGCCCTGCTTTTATCACATATTATATCAAAGTTTTAGTATGACTGAGTAGATTTAAATAAAGTGTTAGATATTAGAAAATTTACTACAAAAATATAATTTAATATTAATTGAAATTTTTATTTTATAGTAAATGCAAAACACAATGAAGAAATAAATCATCTAAAGAGCAACCAACAAAAACAGGTAAGATTTAAAAAAAGGTGTGTGTGTGTTACTAAAGTCTGATTGCCTACTATTCTGTATATGCGATGTGTGTGTGTAATATATATATATAATTTATAATTAGAAAACTTTTTATATACCATTTCCAAGGAACAGAAATTCGATTAAAACCACAAATTATTAAAAGAAAAAATTTTAGTCAGTATTTTAATTAGTGTTTCAAAGTAGTATTTTCTAGACAACTATTGTTTTAGAAACAGACAAATCTGTAAAGAAAAATCCTTTATCGCAAAAATACCAAAATCTAAAGTAAAAATTTTAAGTATTGAAAAAGTAGCTATTGTTATTGATCGCAGATTAATTGACTTGTCAAGCGGAACAAACCAATCTGCTATCAGTTAACAACAGGTAAATTAAGTGAGAGTGTTTCATCTTTCTTTCCAAGTAAGTATCAAATTATATTTCTGCTAGAAGCAAATCATGAGTCACGAACAATAATTAATAGAAAGACATTAGTCCATTTAAGCCAAAAGAATCTTCTTAAACAAAATAAATTAGTAAATAATCTTTCAAATTTAAGTTAACACAACTAAACGAGATTCTTACTTTAGAAAAGATATTCCCCGATATATATATTCACTCAGCAGGAACCAAGTAAAAGAGTATGAAGAAGGAAATGAAAATGTGAAAAAGCAAACTAAAAAAAAAAATGTGCAGCCTCTATGTGTAATGTGAATGTGTAGTGAAATGTGTAAATAAGCTGTTCGGTTATTTGAATGAATAAAGTGAGGTTGAATTTAATGGTATCACAGCTTTGTGTAATATTTTTGCCATATCATCTGAGAGGATGTAAGCATGACTGTTAAAATGAATAATTTATTTTGAGAAAATTTTGGATTATGGTATAATTAGTCAAAGAATAGTTTATTATGAAATATTTAAGAAATTAAAAGTTAAAAGAAAACAAAGGGGGGGGGCGGGAACCCAAATATTTCACTTTTGTTTTTAAATAAAAATATTTACCTATTGCCAATTCATAAAGCTAAATCATTGTTGTTGAATAAAATTGAAACCTAACTAAAAAGAATTTCAATTTTAAAAGCTCCAATATTTATTTCTACATTTCTCTAATGTAAAATGATATAAACAGAAAAATGCTAAACTGTTAAAAAAAAGTATATTATTCCTTCACTTAAAAAAAAAATTACTTGGGGAAGATTCGTGTCCATACATTATTACAAAATTTCATCAAGAATACTGTACAATGAAAATATTAAAAATTTTTAAAACTAATGCCATAAAATATTAATTTTACCTTATTAAAAATACAGATACAGTACAAAGTCCGCAATCCGGACTCATCGGGACTTTGGCGATTTCCGGATTGGGGGTTTTTCCAAATTAGAGATCATCAATTTAAATCCAGTAAGATGGCATGCAGAAATTATACAATTAAAAATATTAAACTGTAATTTATGAAATAAAGAGCAATTATGATCTAAAGGGTGTTTACTTTATTAAAAATTTTTTTCAATGCGTGCATGCGTAAAGTATGCGCGTTCTCTATGGCATGCGTAAAGTTAAGTGCAGCTTTGAGGTCTGGATTATAGATCATTCCGGATAATGGACTTTGTACTGTATAACATTTTAAGTGATACACTTTCTGATCCCAATGAGAAATGCACTTTTTATTATTGAAAATGAATAAAAGATTTTATCCATCATCAGTTAGTAACAATGTGCTATCATATATCCCATATTTATTTGTAATGGACAGGATTTTATCACTTCTTGAAAACAAAAACGTCTCTTCAAAGTGCTAAAAAAGGAATAGAGAAGACATTATTTGGAAGGAAAATACAGGGTTCGTACGGTCCTTAGATTTTTTGGAATCTATTTTTGGTCCTTAAAAGTCCTTAATTTTGGCCAAAATCAACAGAAGGTTCTTAATTTTAATCATCTGAAATTTCTGTCTGTTTTTACGACTGTCATTTTGAGTGCGAGTTAGCATTTTGAGAAATATTTTTGGCGATTCACTACCGTATATATGGTAATCTTTTGAATGGGTTCATGAGTTATAATTTGTTTCTATTTCTAATATAAATGATGGGATACTCGAGTTTCTAAGCAAGAAGTGAAACATATGTATTTTGAAATTCATTTTTCCTAGTAAAGAGCTTTTAAACAACTTTTTGCTTTTGGGGATGTGAGATTTTTTATTAAACGGTTCTAAATTTGGTAACTTTTCAACATTTTGGCGATTTTAAGGTTAGTTTCTAAAGAAACTTTTTAATTCCAAAATCTCAGAGAATTTTTCGAACGATTTTTTTTAAAAGATCATAACATTGATAAATTTCATTAAAATAATGGTTCAATATATTGAAATTATATTTAAAAAATAACATTAAAATAAAACATTTTTTTTTCGCTGTCATATTATAAAGTTTCATTTTGGCAACTTATACAATATTTTAAATCTGAAAAATAAACAAGGTATAATGCTATAAAGCACAATTTACGAAACAGCTCTTAGCAAAAGTAAATTAGCTATGTAATTAAATAAAAAGTCTTGTTTTTAATTTTTTCATATTAAGAGTTTTCCCCCATGTAATTGTCTCAGAATATTCAAAATTCTCAGAATGTGCATCAGTTTTCTCTATAAAATTAATTTTATACTTTTTCCCGAAATATTTCTGGCTTTTTTCTGTTACAGAAATGGTGGGGATAATTTTTCTTTAGGATTTTAAACATTGCAGCTTGCAAAGTTTAGAAGGATTTGAAGGCAAGATTTATAGACCCACGTTTCTAGAAGATTTGAGAAATATGTGACAAAATGTAAAAAGTCTCCATGGTATGAACACGTAGTGGATGTATTTTACAGAAAGTTTACAATGAATTTCTTGATTTTGGGAGAACATCTGGAAGAACATTGAAAACATAATATTTGAATGTATTACTTCTGATACTAGAATCTTAACATGTTTATTTTCTCTACTTTTCACTAGACAGAAGCATGGAAAATATCAAAAATGCTTCTGATCTTATCACATGGCATTATAGAAAGGGATTTTTTTATTAATAAAGAAATTGAAAACTTACAATTTAAAAGATTCATCTAATATTTCTTAATGCATCATACACACTAGGCATTTTCCTACCTGATGCAGTCTCTGTGGATCCTAAGTTCTGCTGCCTACTGCCTTTCTAAATTCTGCTTCCAATGCTTGCTCTAAATTCTAAAAGTTTTGCCATTTCTAGATTTTGTTGTTCGGTGTGTCACTAAATTCTAGAAATTCTGCCACATCAGCTCTGTAACCGTCCTTTACTATATATATTTCATATTGCTTCTGAATGTTTATATTACTAAAGAAATAAAATTAGCCGTTTTTTCTGTACATTCTAAATGCATTTAGTGTTTTTTAGAATAACGGAAATCCTTAAATCCCAAAATTCTAAAATGAAAAGGAAACGTGTTGAAGAAAGAAACTGAGTACATAAAGGAAATTATTCTTCAAAGATATGTGCAGCTATTATTATGTAAATTACCCAGCTGTTTATGATTTCGACCTTTACTATAATTTTCCATTTCTATTTCCTCATATGATAGAGTTATTGAGCCAGATTAAATTACAATTAAATTGTATAATCTTTGACCACTAGTCCATATTATTATTTGACTGTTCTTCTTTAATTACATCACCGTGAGCTGTAATTGATTTTGTTAGCATAAGAACATGCCTTTATGTTCTAAGTTTTTTTTAAATAAGAGGCTTATTTAAACCTTTGCTATTGTAGTTAATTTCAGACATAGCAATAATATGCTTCAGTCTGTCGGGGGTTTTGGACTGTTTAACTTTTACCAGATCAATTAAACCCTCATAGGTACATTATGGAGAGGTTGACAAGTTAGGAGATGAAGCATGCAGAAACTAGTGAGACTTTTGGTTTGCATATTGAGACAAATCTCTAATTGTTAGAAAAGATGCTTAAAAGAGAAGGAAATCGATATAGACTTTCAAATATGACCAACTATCATAAGTGTAAAATATTTAATGCTACTTGATAAATTGCATGGTTTATTTTATTCTCAAACTTATTAACAATTATGTTAATTAATTCATGTTTAGTAATAATGTGTACTATTTAAGGATCTATTTTATTTTTAGGATTGTATTACAAAAGTGAGATTCAGGCATAGATAATATCTTCAATTGAATTTATTCTGTTCCCGTTTGCTCATAGGTCCTTAATTTTTTTCATTAATGGTCCTTAATTTCCGTGTGCAGAAATGTGTACGAACCCTGAAAACAGTAATTTTGTTACTTTAATTAAATTATATTTTTATCAGGAACTGTCTGTCATTCATTTAAAATTGATACAAACAAGTTGATGTATATAATTGTACAATAAATGATAATTATTGTTGTAATCATGTATTAGTATTTATTTATTTATTAAATTCTATTTCAACAGATTGAAAGCTTATCAGCAACTTTTAACATCTCTACTGAAGAGCTGAAGGCCCAGCATGAAAAGCTAGTTGCACGTTTAGAGCAAGAAATAATCTGCCAACAAGAAGGCGAGTTCACTTTTCCATAACTTAAAAAATGTTTGAAGAGTAATATAGTAAATGTTAATATACTGCCATTATAAACTGTTTGCTTTTTAATTTGTAAGCATAATAAATATCTCTCACATATCCATTACTTTGGGGTTTTACAGAAATGAAAATTTTCCAAGAGCGTGAAATAAAAGATCTAGAAGAGAAGCATGCACAAAGTACAAAATTACTCCAAGAGCACATAGAACAGCTTCAGAAAAAATGTGCAGAACTCAAGCAACATTCCCTCAGTATGGAGGACGCAATGCGCAAAGATACAGACTCCAAACTACAGGTAACTTTTGTTTTTCTAATTTACAATAGAATATTAAAGTATATTTTAAAATTTTGTAAAATTAAATATTAATCTGTAACTCTGGTTTTCATCATTAACTTATTCTACAAATATTAACTATTGCATTAATATCTGCAGCAATCGTGAAATGTAACAATGTTAGTAGGATTATTTTTTTTTAATTTATAGATTAACGTTTTAGTGGAATTGGAGCATCTGTCATTTAATACATTTAATGATAATTCTAGAATTTTAGCCCATTTTAAGAAGTATGTCTAAAGCAGTGCTTCTTAACTCGTGTGATGATGTGGACAAAGTTTTACGAAGTGTGTCACAGAATTTTTAAGCTTCAAAATTTTTACCTTTGTTTCTAATGCTATATATAAGCAAATAAATATTTTTTATGAAAATATTGAAATATAAATAAAGAAACTGATTCATGCATTTTAAAAATAATTTTCATGCTATTCTGCTGGTCATAACACTGTATTTTGACACACATTGTGGACCTCACCAAGCATACCATCGCAAAATGTCAAGATTTATTGGCATTAGTCATAAAGGCATAGAACAATGAAATAGACTCTGTTGTTTGTTTTCCTTCCTATATTTACCCACTCTGTTATTGTAAAAATTTTAATGTAAATTTAATCTGTAAATTTCACTAAAACAATGTTATTTCTTGTATTTTGAAAGAAAAATCATTTGAAATAAAATGCATTAAACAAATATTAAAAGGAGGGGTTTCTACCACTTAAAATTAATTTCTATTGCACTATTAGGGTTGGAATATTTTGCCACTTAATATTGTTATGAAATGTCCAGCTGCGGTAAGATAGCTTCCCTGCAAAGCAGGTTTAGTGTTGCCAGAAAATGGTAAGAGAAGGCAGAGTTGCCAGATTTGGCACAAAATCGCCCATTTGACAACAAAATTGGTGATATGCCATAGATGGATGAACATTCTGAAATGAATTTGTATCAGTTTGGCAAAGAATGTTCTCAAAGGCAGGCCAAAAGCTATATAAACACTGCCTGTATGTGGAGTAGCAGTGTATTATTGTCTAGTGTATTGTGAGTTGGTGCATAGAGAGTGTGCATCGTTGAGATTATCTAGTGTATCGCGAGTTGTAGTGTGGAGAGTCTCGAGAGTACGTTGAGTTCCGAGAACGACCGAGCAGAGTCGGGAGATGTACTCTGGTATTCTAGTAGCTGTGTTCTAGTGCTTTGCCGTGAAGCTGTCTTCACCATTGTAGCCTGAAGGCTGTGTTGCTGATTGTTTCAGCATGTTTGTTGTAGTTTTTCGACAACTGTAAACATGTTTTTGGAGCTGTCCTGAGTAATACTGGCTAATAAATTCTTCATTAAGTATTGTCGTCAATCACTCCAAATCCATGAACCCGTAAAAATGCAACAGTATTAAATTGGGAGCATAACACATGTAGTGGCTTTGTTATCATTAGAATTGTGATTTTGTTAAAGAAATAAGTATAATATTGTTGTACTTGCTTATAAGTTAGAGTAAATGGTAGTTTTAAATAAAAGAGAAATTACTGTTTGACATATATGATGATATATTTGTTGATTTGATGAATAATATGTTATTACAATTTGAAAAGATATATTAAAGATGCCATGGCAACTGTTATTCATATGATTAGTAGTAAATCATTTATTTCTAAAGCTGTTTTTCTTTTTTATTTAGAAGCTGCATAAGTTAATTGTTATATAATATACTGACAGTAGAATATTTTCAGTTGTAATATTAGAAAATATTTCCTGCTGTTAATGCCAAAATTAATTTGAGAATTTATTTTGCATTATAGTGGGTTACTACAAGAAAGGTAGATTTAGAGAAGGAAGTAGAAAGTTTGAAAACAGTTTTGGAGATGAAAAACAAAGAATTACATTCCTTGAGAGTTCAAAACTTAGAAATGGAAAAACAGGTAATAATATTATAAAATCCTAATGTAAAGTAATTAAAGTTTCAAAGTAATTTATACTTATGTAATTCTGAAACTGTGCATATATTACTGGAAATTTTAGTTCAGGTTTACTTATGTGGAATGAAAATTGCTCTATTATATATCACACAGTATGAATTTTCTCTTTTGCTATACCTAATAAACTAAAATTCTTCATAATTAAATAGGTATTTAATGGAAAAATTAATCTAATTATTCTGATTCCAAATAGCTCGAGGAGCTGCCTTTGGCACGTGAAAAGATTAAAATGTTACAGGCTAGAGCAGAGGATTTAGAAGCCTTGATGATTGAGAAAACAAAGCTGGAAAGGTAATTACTTTGATTTTATATAGTGTTTTTTCATTACCTAATTCTTCATGTGCAAAATAAACAACAATTATACAAACAATAATTATGTGTGTTACCTCTCATGACTGCACATATTGCCTGGCACTTATTTAAAAAAACTAATTTTGACTGATTAATCATTATAGCATATTTAAAACTCCCTGTATGGAAAACATTTTTTTAAAAAATCACATTTTACAAAAATAGAAGGAATCTAAATATGCAATATAAAAAGCCATCCAAGGTAACACTGTGATTGGAGACTGATATTCATAGCATAAAGGTTTAGTTTGAATTCCAGATAAAGCATAAATATTTGTGTCTTCACAGCTTGAGCAGCAATTAAATTCAATAATGCCAAATGTTCTCTTCATTTAATAGTAGTGAGCAAAGAATACAAAATCTTCATATTCCTGGCTTCTATTAGTCAAAACTGAGATGGAAAGGAGGCAGTGCTTTATTTTGCCTAGATCAACTATGTTATCTATCTAGCAGACACATTCTGTGAATAAACTCAGCTGATCATTGATAAGCTAACCAGTGTAGAATAGCAAAATTATCTGAGTGTGTGTGGGGGGGAATTAATAAATCTTGAGAAAATTAATTGCCATGTATAGTACAAATATCAAACTGAATATTGAAAAGTAAAATCTCATACTTAATACTGCATTAATTTATATATATATTTATCAGAGTTGTTATAGACAGCCTGTCTACTTTGCCAGTTGAAATTTAAATAACATCTTCTTTCACATTTTTTCTCACAGACAAATAAATAAATGAAAAATCTGAAAGCTTTCATATTTTAAATTACAGCCAAAGAAGTGTTTTTTAACATTTTGTGTGTTACCTTTATTTATTAAATATTATGTTCTTTGCACTTAAACCATAAAATTCAACAGCAATATTGCAAAATAATTTTAAAATGAGCCTATCTTTAGAATTTCCGATACACAGTTTCGTGCGCTGGAGATAATCCCCCCCCCCGCAGAGTGTTGCCATTTCTCGCTTTGAAGTCGTCGAGTTTTTTTAATAAAAAATTCTTTAATGTATGACAAAATCTGAAATAGATAATAAAACAAATTCCAAATTAGGGCTTCCAGATGCCCAGATTCGGTAGAGGTTTACGTTATTCAAAATTGGATGGCTCTAGGTACCGTTGTTTTATCACAATGCAAGAAGCATATATACATTTATGCAGAATCTTCATTACTTAATTTCTTTAAATATAATATAGGGCTCTAATATTTGGTGGCAACAGTTTGAAAAGTGAATCAACGCAAAGTGCCAAAACAAAATTAACAGCCCTTCTGGACTAAAAAGTGGAATATTTTCTATTTTAAAACTATTAATTAATTATTAGCTAATTATATATTAAAATTGACTTCTGTTTTAACATCCTTTTATTTTATGTTCCTCTTTAGGAAGCTTTCATCTGAAAATCAGCAAATTAGGGATACTTATGAGAAGGAATCAAAAGTAAATAAACGTTTATCGATGGAAAATGAAGAGCTGCAATGGCGACTAAGACAAGCTGAACAGTCTTTGATATCTGGATCTTTTTCAGAAGGTATTGTTTGACTTACTTCTTGCTCTGATGTTAAGTTATATAAATATCTCAAAATATTTGTTCATATTCTAGTAAGACAATAATATTTTGCTAATCTGTCTATTAAAAAGATCAAAACTACTTGTGCATATAATAACTCTTAATGAAATAATTTTACAGAGAAATTGTTTCTAAACCTGTTATGAGGGAATTTTGACTTGTACTTAAATGTTAGCAATTCCGAAAATTTGAGCTTAGAAGAAAATTTTTATAATCCTTCATTCTGTAAGTTTACAATATTATATATATATTAAAATATAATTTGCTGTAGTATTTTGACAGTGACAATCATTTACAAGAAATTAAACTTAAAAGTGCTTTTAAAACAAGAAATAAAATTCTATAAATCAATTGCCAAAATTTATATTAAATGCTTATCCTGTATGAAATCATTAATTCTAATTAAGGCAAAAAAGAAAGGTTATTTAAAAACTCTTTACAATATACTTTGTCAAAGTAAAGTAAAATTGTATAAAAGGAAAGAGGGAGTTAATGAAAAATGTAATGTATAATTTTTATCTTAGCTCATATACAGAAAAAATAATTACAGCAGTTTATGTTGTGCATAATTACAGCAGTTTATATCAAAATTTTGATAATCATGTCCATAAATCTTATTCTTTTAAGTTAGGAAGATATATATTAAAATTTTTCAATACTTGCATATATCAGAACAGATAAAAATAGCTTATTCAAGTTTTACAGCAGCATGCTTTTTTATTAAAAATATTTATATTACTTTACCATTAAATATCTTCTTTCACAGTGCAAGTACTCCAAGCAAAATATATTTAGAAAGTTAAATAAATAAAAGTGGTGTTTTTGTATACATGTCCACTTTAAAATATTTGATATACGTGGTATTTGGACACAAAAATTTCTGTTTTGGTATACCGTATTTGTTTGAAATACGACTACAGATGTATCAGTCATGACTGAAGGCAGTACACTTATTTCTTTTCTGATTAATTTTACTCATAAGGCGACAATAAATATACAGCAAATTCTAATGCCAAATTTGACATCATTTGTATCAATTGCCTTTGGTATTCCTGCATGTGGTTAATTTGTCCTCTCATATACAACTTTTTTAATTCATTTTGTGAATTATTTGTTCAGATTGACTTTATTGTGGTATTATATTAATAAATTTGTTTCGGAAGACATTGGAAGAAAAAAAAAAGAGAAATAAATTTTGCAAATTTTCTTTTATATGTACAATATATATATTTCCCACTGCATTTGTATTTTAGTATTAAACAGTGTTATAATATTTTTATAAGAAAAGATTAATAATTTCCCCTTTATTTCTTATTGTAAAATTTCACTTGGTTATACATCGTCCAAGGATCTGGAATGGATAAATGACGTAATCCGAGAAACCAGTGTATAAGATTTAATGTGAATTAATATTTCTGGGATACCTTTTATTTTGTTATGGAGTGTAGCATTTATAAAAATTAAACAAAATTCAATCTAGTAACATTTCCTCAGTGAAGTTAATGTTACTATGCACTGGATTTTATTTTTCACATTCTTCGATACATTTTATATAATCATACATACATATTTGAAAATTTTCAGAATTCCTTCAAATACTTTATCGTTTTATTAGTTCTGTACAGTACTTAAAGCTTTTGAACCTTTGATTTAATATTTGAAAACCTGTTACCAAGTATATGTAATAAGTTAATTGTATGTTTAAATTATTTAAGAAAATATGATTAACCTTCTGTTTTATATTCATCTAAATTATGTAAATGTATTTTTTGGATCATCATAAAAGAATCCAAACAAAGCTGAGCTATAAACCTCTTAAGGTGCAAATTTAAAGATGCAAATTTTATTTTTTCAAAATCTGCATCTTATTCTTTTTCGCTCACATTATTTTTTCAATTTTCACTTGTCTTCTCTTAATTTCAGTGTTTGAAATAAGCATATTAAATATCTAACTGTATTTCAAATAAAATTACTTTCATCCTATTTAGAATTATGTTAATAAAAATACAGTTTGGTATAGTCATCATGAGAATTTTCCGCATATGCTGTGCTAGATTCATGTGCAGCTCTTCCATTGTTTTTCATTTCATTTCATAAATATTTTTGGATAGTAGAATTAAGAGACCATGCATGCTGGTGTAATGTCAAGTTAAAGAATTTCAGGTGCATACATTACATGGATAATTCAGTAAGTCGCACTTATTCTCCCATGGAAAGCCTTTAATAACTCCCTCAGGACAAAAATATGTAAAAAATAACAAAAGAAAATACTCTAATTAAATACCTTTAATTACCAGTAAATTTACAATACATAACTTGTTTATTCAGCAAGTTTTTTAACAGTTACTTTGTATACATCTTATACAGATTTAGGGCAATAACCCATGCCTTCTTTTTTGGTACAAGCGCAATAATTCCATATTGTGACATTCAGTTTTCACGCATCCAGGCATTCCATATATTTGCACGTGAAATTTTTTTTCCTTCTTAAAGATGCCCCTTCCTTTATTCTCTGGAGTAAGTCAAGGTGCAGATAAAAGGTACACTGTAGTATGTCGTTACTCATATAAATTATTATGCGGGAAACGGGTGCAAAAAAAGTAATAATTCTACTGTTATAAAAATATAAGGAATGATTTCAAAAACAGAATATTTCAATTTATTGGTCATAATTGATTAGAACTCCCCTTCAAAGTAATTCTTTCCGAATACAATTCTTATGGCAAATTTTTTTTCCAATCTTTGAAACGGTCATTTTTGTGAAATTCTTTCAGATTTGCATAAAATTCTCTTTTATTGCTTCAACATATTCAAAACAGTGACCTTGAAGCAGAATTTTATCTGTTCAAATAAGTCACTTCATGCCATATCAGATCAATAAAAAAGATTATTAGTCATATTTGTTGTTTTGATGTAGCCATATTTAGCCCTATTTATTGTTTATTAAGAACTACGCCTGTTGAATTTTTGGCCAAAAATCTTTACATCAAAGCATAGATCCAGGCATCATTACTCATGCATTTTAGGAAAAACTCATCTAGAGAAAGCATGGAGCTACTTTGAATACGTCATTTATAGGGAAAAATTTCAACATTTTTGAACAACTAACAACACATTGCAAACCTAGATGATGCTTTAAAATTGAAAATTTTCAAGAGGATTTAAATGATAGCAGAATTTGTTCAATAACAAAATGAACTGTGAAATTACTGCTAACCAACAAATCTTTTAATCTCTTGTTCTTGTTAGTTAATTAGATGGTCAACTAGAGTATTGATTCTCTGCTTACCTTAAATGTCTTATATCATTCAAAAGCTTTTGTTTTGAATGAGGTGCTGTTATCAAAACCTATTTTGCAACATTTTAACTGTTTTACAGCGGAAATTCCATCATAAAAAAGAAACTTAATGCATGTTCTTTGCTCAGATATGTTTGCCATTTTGAAAAGTCACCGAAACAGAATTTTTTCATTAAAAATAAATAATATATATTTATATGCAAATTAAAAGAAAATTAAATATGGATTGCTGTCACATATCAATGAAAATGATATCACCTGAAAAATTTTTACAATGGATTTCTAGCATGTATCTATTTCAAATGAATCATTTCTGATACCTTTTGATAACAGTAATTACCTTGGTTAAATCGTATTTTTTTATGATTCAATAATAAGGAATACATCAGTATTAACTTCTAATTAATTTTTTTTTCATATTGTTCTCAGTTGGTTAAATTAGTCATCATAAGTAATGAATTATTATTTAAGAAACAGTAGCATAATTTAAAGAAATGTTTAGAACATATATTTTTAATATTTCTAATTTTCTCGTTTAAATTCTAGCACAATTATAAATACTCAAATGTCGTTTAATTTTCCAAATCTAGTATAAATGCAATAGATTAATCTGTAGTATATGTTAAAAATTAATTATATCAAAATAAACAAAAAACAGATAAGAAAATAAAATGTAAAATCATTAATTTTAATTCATTATAATTATACTGCAGTTTACTACTAACTTTCTCATTCATACAGAAACTGTACTCCTGCATTTTTTTTTTTTTTTTTAAGTAAAAATATTTGCAAGGTAAGAATCAGAGTTGCTAATATCAAACCTAGAATTATTTTTTCCATATTAGCTAATTACTGGTGTTCAGATGTTTGAATTCTAAAATAGTAGGTTATAAAATAATGATGATAGTAATAATTTTTACATGAACAGTTAGTAAGTTATGAATATAAGTGTATTATTTATGAATTTTACAAATGAGTGTTATTTACAGTATTACTATTTTCTAATATATTTTAATCAATGATAAAATTAAGGTTAATAATAACTTCCTTGTATAATTTATAAAATTAAATCCATTATTTTCTAACTATTGAGTTATGTTTGTAAGGTAACAAAGTCATCTTCTTAATTTGGTAATTTTATGAATATTTTATCAGGCTATTTACCATATTTGACGGCATATAAGACGCACTTTTTTTCCTAAATTTGGTCTAAAAAAAAGTTACCTGTGTCTTATACGTGAAGGACACAGGTTAACTTTCAATACTGAATGCTATTTTTAGCCTGGATAAAGGTCTAGACACACATAACTTTTTCTACATCTACATGTGGGTGGCTTTGTAAATAAGGGTGCGTCTTATATGCCATCAAATACGGTATTCATTCCTTTCAAAAATTTTGTTTTCTTTTTAAATTTAAATTAACCCCTTAACTGCGGACGTATATATATATATGGCTTGCTCTGCCAATGCGTTAACTGCCATGGGCGTTTACATACGCCTGTCCGAACTACTATCATTTGCTTTGCGTTGCTACCTGTAAAATTATTCACAAAGCTTTGGAATGCAACACCTCAATGACTTTGACAAAGTATGCGAAGGAGGATACCATTTCAGAGAAATGTGGGAAGAAATTGGAGAGAGAGGTGTGTCTAAAGCGATGAAAGTAATGACTGTGCGGTATTGCTGGTGTTGTTTGAGTAAAACATTATTTTTTTTCATTCTGTGTGCTCCGTTTTCGTTTACTTTTTGTAGTAGGTTCCAGGAATAAAGTAAGATATAACGGATGTTTCAAACCCATTTAATCTTTTTTGAATTATTTTTTCATGAACTGCTCGTGCTTCATATCGTTATTGAAACTAACCGTTGTGTAGACGAGTACATGAACCAAAACCTTGCAAACGAAAAATCAAGAACAAAATCCTGGCATTCAACCAGTTCAGAAGAAATATATGTTTTTTTAGGGATACTGATTTCACTGAAACCTTATACAGTCAAAAGTCGTTAATCCGGACTCATCGGGACTTCGGCGATTCCGGATTATCGATTTTTCCGGATTATAGATCATCAGTTTAAATCGCGTAAGATGGCATGCAGAAATTCTAAAATTCAAAATATGAAACCGTAATTTATGAAATAAAGAACAATTATGATCTAAAGGGTATCAAAATTTACAAAAAAAAAAGCTTAATATTTATTTGTTTACTTTATTAAACATTTCTCTCAATGTAAGTTGTTTAAGTTGCTTCATTTTATGTGATAATACTTTCTCTTTAATTCTATAAAAAGACATAATTTCTTGTTCAGTTACAAAGTTCCGCTGTTCAAGTCCCGTTAATTGCTGTGCCGAGAATACCGATTAACTTGTCAATCGAAATTTTTTCGTTTTCACTAACCTCTCTGTCACATTCTTCATGTCTTTATCCATTTTTTGCAGCAATTCCACTTTTTGTTTGTTGGACATCGAAACATACTTTCGTTTTGTAGATCCTTTGGAAGTTCCAGCATCGGAAATTCTATTTGACATAATCGAAAGTTCAAGTTTACTTTTATAAAATTGCTCTTACAGTCTGCAAAAAATAATAAACGGGATCTAATTCGAAGATTAAGGAACAACGCAATCATTAACATTAACTGAAATAGATAATTAGATAATTTTAGCTTACACCATCCGTTATACATTAAACGCGCAGGCGAAAACGTATTCTGCACTTGCGCACACGCATATGCGCAGTAGTCAAGGTCTTACACGCACGCGTAAAACGCCTGTGCGTATGTGCCGACGCGGCGCATGCGCAGAAAGTTTTTAGCTTTGAAGTCCGTATTATAGATCATTCCGGATTATGGGTGTCCGAATTAACGACTTTTGACTGTATTACACTTTACTGGTCTAAAAATTAATTGATTTTAGGGATCTTTTTATTTATACTTTTACTCAAAACATTAAATTTTGTGTATTCATTTTTTTCTTTTATTCTTTATTTTGTGAAAGTAAACAGTTTTTAGAAAGTAAAACTTGCACTTATTTTCCCCCAATACATCACATAACTATGAGCAACTGTGTGAAAAACCGTAGCACTGGGAAATGAATCTTGTACGTTTTCCGCAGCAGTTAAGGGGTTAAAAAAGTAATTTTGTTATTTTAATGTAAAAAATAAATCACATTTCTTATGTCCAAAATAAATACTTCCAATCTTTCGAAATGCTCACATTAAGAATATTGCTTCCTAAACTATTCATATTTTATATTAGTGGCATTTATGTTGACAATCAATTTTTACAAAAAGGATTAAATTGTGACATAAGATTGCAACAATTTTAACTATATGAAAAAAGCAGGATCTATATCCTTGATCTATTTCACAAGAAAAATATTGAAAAAAATTTCCAAAAACTACACTATTTTTTTACCGATAATTTTTATAAATATTTTGAACAACTGTTAAACTGAAAATATTAAAATGATAGTGAGTTATTCAATTTTTGTCATTTACAGACTTTTTTAAATGCACATTCTCTTTAAATATGTGTATTAAATTTCTCTCGATTTAGCTGAATTTCGTATACTTGCAAACATTCATTCTAATCAAAATAACTTCTTTCAGCTGCAGAATTTCAAGAAATTACAGAAAATGGAGCTTTATCTCCTGTTAAGTCTCCTGCTCCACAAACTCTATCTAGATCAGTGTTTTTCACTTTCATGGACAAAGATGATATCTCATCTTATTCTCCAAGATCCCAGTACAAAAAAATAACTTCAAATTTTTCTGCCAATTATAAAACTTCACCAGGTAGAACACCAAAATCACCAACCACAAGTCCTAGGAGACCAAAAAGTCACTCAGAGCCACCACAACCACAGTTATCTTCCAGCACACCACGAAAAATTGCCAAACAGCCATCAGTAAAACACAAAACCTCACAAAAGCGGCAGCGAGCTGGAGGTGATGGTGGTAGCACAAACAACGAACACAATGAAGTTAATCTCTCGTCCATGGCAGAAAGCATGGCATCATCTGTGAGTAGTGAAAGTTCTGTGTTTGAGCACAAAGAAAGGCTCTTGGAAGAGCACAAGGATCACATCATGGCATCTTTGGAAATCCTTCGTGAACAACGAAGTGCTGAAATTGCCATGAGTGAACCAGTGACACCAACTTCTACAGAATGCATGGAAGTTAAAGGTTCTCCAGGATTTGAAACTCAGGACATGTCTCGATCTGCAGAATTTGCTGATCCTAAAACTTATTATCACATGACCTTCCCTGTACTTAAAGAAGGTGGAATTGCTGATTGTGATACTGAGGACAGTGGTAAGGTGTCAAATAATAGTAGTTCCCCTTCAAGAGATGCAACCGATATGCATTCCATGTCAGTTGGTAATAGTCCAAGCAAAGCAGGTAAGACAACTTCTTTGGAAATTAAATTAAAAGTAATGAGTACTTCATCCCCAGAATTTGGTGCTACAGATAACAGCACAGAAACACAAAAATGTATATCTGGTGCTATTTCAGCAGATGATGTACAAATCACGGAATCAGACAAACTAAGTAAGACACAAGGAGGATGGAGGACTCTTTAAAGAGTAAACTTTGTGATAAAACTAAAGTTACTGAGAATTACTATGAGCTTTCACTAAATGATTATGAGATCTAAACTGAGTGATTAAGCCATTGCCAAATGAGTTTTTCTTTATAAAATTATTTTAATGTATAAAAAAATATTTATTCTAGTTGGGGAGATATCTTTCAGTATTCTATAGATAATTAAATATGTTTTAACATAGAAGCAGCTAAACGAGTTTTGTGTAAAACATGTTCCCCCACCCCCTTTTCTTATATACTTACATTGTTTTATTTTTTCAGTTATTTTTTTAATGAAGTTTGTAAAAATTTCATTTTGTTTAAAATTATGTAAAAAATGATAACATTTATTCTATTACATAAAATTAAATATCTTTAAAAAGTAAACTGAAATCTTTTAATGTAAAATTCTGAAGTTATAAATTTTGAATTCAAAAATCTGAATCTTAATTGTTGATTTTTTGATAATTATATATTTCTGAATGGATTTCTAAAGGAATTTTGCTAATAATGATAAAAAAGTTTTGTCTTTTTAGCTTTTTTCCTATTATAAAAATAAGGTTTATCAATATCATTGTCTATGATATTTTAGGAAGAAAAAAATTTGAATTTGATAAGGTAATTTTTTTTAAGACTGAAATGTCGTCGAAAAATATTAAATACAAAAACCATTTGAGCATTTTATTACTTAAATTAGATCTTTATAAGAAATATACAAAGAGAAACCAGAAAGAATTATAAACAAAAATTCTCACTTTGCTTAAAAATCCTTCTGTCATTTTTTGTGGAAATTTTTATTCTCTGCTCTTTAACTGCCGGTGAAAAGAATGGAAAACTGAAATTCCATATTTGCTGTTAGATAAGTAGATTAAAAACTTATTACTGGATGTTTTATATTTATATAAATATATGATACAGAGTTAATGGTGCAAAATTTGGCTTGCCAATAAAGAGTTGTTGTACCTGCAGATGATTCTACCGAAGTTATCTACTAAACATTAACCTCTTTGTACAGATATGTTTGAATTTATACAATTCTAGTCAAATGAATGGTGGTAGTGTGATACATTTTAATAGCAATTTAAAATATTTCTAAAGTTAAGTTACTTTGAAATAAATTTTGCCAGAGGTAGATATATTAATGATGCTTAAATTCATAAAATATATATTCAATAGTAATATATATATAATGTGCCACAGAAGACAATTTATAATATAGAATCATAAAGTGTGATAATCAATTATTTACATACTAAACATTCCAATTAAATTTTTCAAATGCAAAATCTTTGTTCTTTAAAGAAAATTTTCAAAATATTGTTATAACCAATGTTTGAATTTAAAATTTCAAAACTACTTATTTACTTTTATAATACCAACTCATAATTAACTGAAATCGCCATCGATATTATTGTTGATTATGGAAGTTTTGCTATAAACAGTTTCATAGGATATCAATGTCATGCTATATGTGGTGATTTAAAACTATACTTCATTGTGAATTTTATTGTTGTTTATATTTGGAAGTGCTACTTTGTAGGAAAGAAAACTTGTACAATAATTTAGTTTGCTGCTCCCACCTTTAAAATCTTAAAATATTCAATGAATTAAAAATATTTTTCAATTTGTCTCACTTAAAATGGCCTATTTCAAAAGAACAAAGGTATACGTGTTTAATTTAAGCATGATTGCATTTGTTGAGTGAATATGTAAATATAAACAGTATTGTAATGTGCTGCAAGCTTGTTGTGACATTAATTGTAATAATGATGAAAATGCTTGTGAATAAAGAGATTATATAAACAAGACCATTATTTTTTTAACTATCTTTAAAAATGTCGTAACACAGTGAGATTACAAATAATCATACAGATTATTTTATTATTTTTCGCATACTGCCTTTTTTACTGCAAAATGTGTGTGGCCAGCCAAGGCACAATGGTGCTGGTTTGGTTTGTGATTACGGCAATTACGACAAAACATCTGCCTAAGGGAAGGGATGTCTCTCTGGAGGACTTAGAGAAACTGGATCATATACACATGGGAAAAACCATAAAAACGCCCATGCAGCCAGCATTTTTACAGGATTCGAACCCCAAACCAAATTACCAGTGTTCAGCTACTTTACTACTCAGCTGGGCCTCATTGGTGTTGAGTAGGAGATGAAAAGCTGCTCTATCTGGTATAAGACAGCAGAAGAGATGCAAATCGGATACATTATTACGCTCGGTAATCATTCATTTTTCTTGGTCACATGGAAGACAGGACCATAGTGTTTTGGTTGTTCTACTCAGTGCCTATTCAATGATCAATGCTTCAACAAGTGAATGTCTTCTACTGATAGTATTAGTAAATGGAAGTTTTCAATGAATAATTATTTTGATTTTGCAGTCAGAAAAACCACTGTACCTAATTAATTATGGGATGCTTATTGCTACTTACTAGTCCCCCTACAAGAAATTTATTTTAATTATTGTGAAGTGTTACATTCTAGTTTGCTACTTCAAGTCATTTATAATAACTTATCAGTTAAATTTAATTTTTCTTCTTAGCTACAAATCTAGTTCAGCTATTTTGATTTACTTAGCTGCTTTATCCCATGCAGTAAATGACAATTTTAATTGCTAATGCAATACAGAAGTGAAAATTTTAAATATTTCAATTAATATTATCTAGCTTACATTATATGCAATTGTACAATTCTACACATAAAATCTTAAAATAGTTTTTCAATACAATATGAAATTCATTTATTCAAAAAAGAAATATATTTTTACATAGCAAAATTTAATCCAGAAAATTAATGTATGAACATCAATATTCAAAAGTAAAATGAACTCTATCAAAAACACAGTGTATTTAAAATGACTAGTGCCTTAAAGTTGTTATAAGTGTTGGTACATACAAAACAAAATACCTACAAGTCGCATCAAAATATTTCAGTTTGGAAGATAATATGTATTAATTTTCAATTTGTCTGTTTCAGTTTATATTTCTGATTTGAATTAAATCTGATTTTAAAAAGACAGTTTTAACATAAGCACAAAAGTAAGTTTAAAATGTGAAAAATCGCATATACTTTGATATATAGCAATATACAAATGTACATTTTATTTTGATTGCAAAATTAAGTTATGTAAATATATAATAGAACTTCAGTTACTTAAGCCTGATGTTAATATGCAGAATTCAAAATCAGTGTTAACTTTCCTTGATAAGCATAATTATAATTACTCAAAATTTTCTTCTGCTTCTTTAAAATTAAACTTTTCAAAATTCATCTTGTATCACAATTTGTAAAGGCACATTTTGAAGCACTTATTACAATAAAGCAATTTCTATCTTTTCTATATTTTTAATATTCTAAATTAAAATTGCATTGAAATTATTCATGGAGAAATGGTTAAACATCTTAATGAAAAAACAAGACAATGTTTGTAGACCATTTTTAACACATCATGGAAATTTGGCAGGCTGCCTAAGGCATGGAAAATTTCTATCATGTACCTTAACCAAATAAATCAACTACAGAATGCATGAACTATAAGGCCTATCACTCTCACTTTTACAAGGTGATGAACAAATCATTCACTCTACAATCCTAGAAGTCCTCATTAAAAAAAAAAAAAAAAAAAAAAAAGTTCATTTTTATCAGACAGCCTACAGAAATTAACATTCCACTGAAGACCAAATATTCTATCTCAGTCAGTCTATCATTGATGGTTTCTAAGAAAGACTACCACAAAAGACCACTGTTATTTTTCTTGAGGTGTCTTCTGCATTTAATAGAGTGTGCAGAAAGAAACTCGTAAAACATATACATTATTTGGTATTGGGAGAAATGCCCTTATCTGGATAAATGATTTCTTTAGGGACAGAAAAATTAAAGTGCGCTGCAGTGGATGTTTACCCAAGAGAAAGGAAATCCTTGCAGAACATCCACACTAGCCTTGACAAAGATAGTACAGTGGCCTGGCACTAAGGGATATTCATGAACCTGAAACAGTGCTTCAGAAATCCCTAAATGGAATCACAAAGTGGATGTAGAGCTTAAGATCAATGCTGAAGTGACTACTGTCTGTATCTTTTCAACAGATAGGATGCATAGAAATCTGAAGAATCCAAAATTATACATTGAAGGCAAATTCATTATGAAGACATCATGCTCAAAATACTTGGAACCACCTTAGATGCAGAATTAAGATTCATTGAGCATGTCAAAACCTGACAAAGCTTTGAAAAGTTTTAGAATCATCAAAAGTCTTTGTGGAACAAATTGTACAATTTTCCCCAGAACACTTAGAATAACATACACCTCACTAATTAGACTGATCAGAGTATGTTTCTCCCACTTAGGCTCATGCTTCCAGCACCGTCTTTGGAGAAATTAGAAAGTGTTTAGGCAAAGGCCACAAACATCATTACCAGTGCAATGGTCTTCCACCAATAATTTAAAAGTAATTCAGAACTGTGGCTTTAAAAGCCTTAGATGAAAATTTACAAACAAGGCAAGAAGCTGTGTACCAGAACACATCACTAGAAAAAACTTTGAAAACTATAACAGCACAAGTCTGAAAAGGTCATCTCCTATGCAGTTTGACAAAGCATCTCCTATGCAATTTGACAAAGATATCACAGCAGTTTTCGACCTTGATCACAAAAAATGTTCAGTCTTCCAAGAGCCAACATTTCCTTCCAAGCTTCCTATGAACTACTCAATCTACACAGTATTTAGTCTACAATGCAATAAAAATAAATAAAAAGGAATTGATTGACATCTTTGGAGCAAAAAGGATCAACCAATGAAATGCTTATACAGATGACTCATCAAATAAGACAATTACTGATGGAGGGCCTGAAGTGTTTCTGACTACCCCAGGTATTACTAATTATCGACATAACACTGGTACTGGATCCATCATCTTTAACTTCCCTTGTAAGCTTCTGACAATAGTGGAGGCACATGGCCTTCCTATTTCTGAGCAAGCTAAAGAACTCTGTGTCTTCTGTGACTAAAAGATAGCTCTACAGGCAATCCTGGATGCTGGAATCCTCCATAATCACAAATGGGATCTATTTTGGCTTAAATGAGATTCAAAAGTTAGATAAGGTCTGCATTTTTCAGTGGTTGCAGCTCATGTAAACATTACAGGTAACGAGAATTATCTGACAAAAGAGGTTCGAAATCTCTACAATAATAATAACTTAAATGCCACTCCCTCAGAATCAAAGCTCATGGTCAGATACAGATTGAAGGAATATTCAATTCGAATAAAGCAACAGATCTATAACATCAATGAAGATTGACTTCTAACTAAAGCCATAGTCAGGCTTAACTGGCTGTCACAGAGGACTGGAAAGTGACAAATAGGGTAAGAAAATTTACA